AATTCACTGGAGGAAGGATAGTCTTTCAACAAATGTTGCTGGGACAACTGAATATCCATATGGGAAGACATGAATGCAGGAAGGGAGGGAGGGAGGAAAAAGGGAGGTAGCAAGAAAGGGAGGAATGGATGGAGGAAAAAGAAGGGAGGATGGAGGAAGGAAAGAAAAGAGACAGGAAAGAAGGAAGGAAGGGGCGAGAGAGAGAAACACATACAAACTTTGATCCATTCCTTTTACCACATACAAACATTAACTCAAAATGGATCATAGACCTAAATAGATAATATAAAACTATAAAATTTCTACAAGAAATAATAAAAGAAAATCTTTGTAATCTTGGATTAGGCAAGAATTTCTTAGATACAACATCAAAAACACAATCTATACAAGAAAAAAATCGGTAAATTGGATTTTATCAAAACTAAAAACTTCTATTCTTTGAAAGAACTGTTAAGACAATGAAAAGACAAGTGGCAGACTAGTCACTAGTTTGCAAATTTTCTATCTGTAAATCATTTATCTGATAAAGGATTTGTATCCAGAATACAGAAAGAACTCTCAAAACTTAGTAATACAAAAACAACCAACCCAGTAACAAATGGACAAAAGCTTTCAATAGATATTTCATCAGAAAAGACAGAAGGATGACAAATAGGTACATGATAAGATGCTCATCATCACAGGCATTAGGGAAATGCAAATTAAAATGGGATGCCACTTCACATCCTTTAGAATGACCAACACTTAAAAGACTGATCATACCAAGTGTTGGCCAAAATGCGAAGGAATTCTCATACACTGCTAGTGGGAATGTAAAATTGTAAAATTCCTTTGGAAAATAGTTTGGCAATCTCCTAAAAACTTATGCACCATATGATCCAGCCATTTACACGAATGTTCGTATCATCTAGCTTAATCTTCTATTGTTGCATAATAAATTCCCACAAATTTAACAGCTTAAAAACAACACACATTTGTTATTTTGTAGTCCAGGCATGGCCTAGCTGGGTGCTCAGGATCTCACAAAGCTGAAATCAAGGTGTTAGCCATGCTGCATTCCTTTCTGGGAGTCAGGTCTTTTCCAAACTCACACAATTATTGAAAGATTCAATTTCTTGCAGTTGGAGGGCCAAGGTCCCTATTTTTTTGCTGGCTGTCACCCAGGAGCTACTCTCAGCTCCTAGAGGTTGCAGGCAGTCCCTGGCCGTGCAGCCCTTTTTTACAATATGACAGCTTATGTCCTCAAAGCCAGCAGAAGAAACTCTGTCTGCTAAGATGGAGTCTTAGGTAATGTAACATAATGACAGCAATGACTATCCAATCACCTTTGTCATATTCTATTGGCTAGAAATAAGTCATAGGTTTTATTCACACTCATGGGGAGGGGATCATACAAGGGCATGACTCACTGTTGGTAATCTGCAGGTAGATCTGCCACACCAGCTTTTATATTTATAAAAGTCTCAAGTTGGAAACAACTCAAATGCCCATCAACAGGGGAAAGGATAAATAAATTGTGGTATATCTATACAGTGGAATACTACATGACAATAAAAATAAAAGAATAACATATACAAAGCATGGGCGCCTGGGTGGCTCAGTTGGTTAAGCGACTGCCTTTGGCTCAGGTCGTGATCCTGGAGTCCCAGGATCGAGTCCCACATCGGGCTCCCCACTCAGTGGGGAGTCTGCTTCTCCCTCTGATCCTCTTCCCCTCTCATGCTCTCTCTCACTCTCTCTCTCTCAAATAAATAAAATCTTTAAAATATATATATATATAAAGCATGAATCAATCTCAAAATAATGCTGAGTGGAAGAAGCTAGGCAAAAACAAGTATTTACAGTATGATTCTATTTACATAAAAATGTAGAAAATTCACAATAATCTATAATGACAGGAAGCATATCAGTGATTGCCTGGAAATGAGAAGTGAAGGCAGGAAGTGCCCGGGCAGAAGAGAGGTATTACAAAGAGGTATGAGGAAACTTTGGGGGGTGACAGATGGGTTCACAATCTTAATAGTAGTGATGATTACATGAGTGTCAGAATTTATCAAATTGGACACTTTAAATAGTTCAATTTATTGTATGTCAATCATACCTTACTAAAGCTGTTTTAAAAAATCTAGCATCTTTTTTCAGAATCAACTCTTTCAAGGTATTCCTGCTTATTAATAAAAGCTTCCCTTTTTGTCACTTTAAAATTCACCAATTTGCTAAATTTTTCAAGTTTATTTTTTAACAGCGCAGATTCTATGACAGTGAAACAGGAGCTTTTGTATGAGGTGGAGGATTTGTGGCAACTGTTGGTATGTGGGTCCTACATTATGAAATATCTCTGAGTCTGGATTACACAAACAGAAAATTTCAATATAGTATAACTGTACACATACATACACATATGCAGGAGAGGAATAGAGAGAGAGACAGACCGAGACACCCCAGCCTCGGGTGGGTCTGAGGCATGCAGAGAAGATTTTATGGAAATGGTGAATTACACTTTAAGAGATGAATAGGAGTTAGTCAAGTGAAGAAGGGAAAAGGCATCCCAGATAGAGAAAGTGGCATAAGCAAAGGCAGGGGAGAGCATGTTACATGTGGAGAGGCATACAGAGTTTGGTAACATTAAGCACAATGTGGGAAGTTGTGGTGGATGAGGTTGGAGAGGGTGGGTGATTTGGACATTCTCTAATAAGAGGAGATTCTCTGTCGAATTTTAGGAAAGTGAATGATGTCCTTAAAGAAAAGTATAATCCCGCCTATTTATTAAAAGGGCTTCATAATATAAAGTAATGGTAAGAACAGGAATGAGAAGATGGATTTGAGACATCTAAAAGATAATATTGCAAGTCTTGGTGATCAATTGACCATAAGTGAAAAAGAGAAGTCTATAGTGATCCCCAAGTTTTTATCTTGTGATTGTTCCATTAACTGAAAAAGAAACACGAGAGACAGAAGGTAGAGGAGGAGAAATGAGTTTAAACCGGGCATGTTGAGTTTCAGATGCATGGGGGATGTTGAAGTGAAGATGCCTTTAAAGGCAGGTAGAAAAAAGGTCAGGGAATGACAGTATGTGTGGGAGGTAAAACTCTGACAGTGGCAACATTTTTCAAGAAGAATGTATAGAGAAGAGCATTGGGCTGGAACCCAAAAGAATCTTTCACCAAGGGCCAGAGATGGAAGGGAAATTCCTATTGAAGACCCAGAACGAATGGCCAGAGTTATAGTGAAGGTAATTAAATAAACTATCCTGTTCTACTGATTAATGTCTCTATTCCAAAAATGTGTTCTCTACCCGTCCTTCCCCCATCACCCACTTTTACCCCCAGGTCTTCTGGTTGCAAGAAAATAAAGCAACAAACATAAGTTCTTTGAAGAAAGAGATTAAATGAAAAGAATAAAGTACAATATATGACAGCTGATATCAAGGAAATATTTTTGGTTGACTGTCATGATCCCTTTTGGGTTTAATTTCTTGGTGACTGCTGTATATCTGTTGACAATCTACGTGTTTGTCCTCCTAGAAAACCACAAGAGAAGAGTCAGAGGCCCAGCCTCCATCAGTGTGACCATCCGTAAAATGCCTCTTTCGACCACATTCTATAATTTCATTGAGGTATTGGATGGGCCATTCACAATGGTACTTTTTATTGGGTATAAAAATAACTCTGATTGTTATCAAGTTGGGCGGGATCATGAAGCTGGCTCTTCTCTGTGTTTTGGCATTGACAAAAGGAGGGGAAAATCTGGGATAGCTGCTAGAACTTTGTGGTTCTGGCTGTGGAGGAGAATGAAAGTGTTAGGCACTACCATCACTTGGGGCCTTATTGTCTGAACTACCACAGGCAGACTTGAAGACATCTAGCTAGCCAGGGAAGTGTCCAGACGCCAGAGTACATACAACAACTTTTTCTTTTTTCATAGGAAGTAAAATCAGTTTCTTTAGAAATGAGGGAGAGACCTATTTAACAACTAGATCCAAGGTCAGGCATCTATCTATGTCTCTATAGAGCTAACATATTTATATGTATACATATTTATGGTGTTTGCGGGAAGAGATGTGTGTATAGGTAGGTGGCCTCAAAACAAGCCTCTTCAAAGGTGAGGCAATAAACATTAAAAATGCGAGATAGAAGTGATCAACAATATTGAATATAGCCTAGAGGTCCAGTAAGATAAGGTAGCTATTGTAGTTTGGCAATATGGAAGTCTTCGGTGATCCTAGTGAATTTTAATCAAGTAATATAAGCAGAAGACAGATTTTATTGTGCAGTGGAATGCAAATGGGAAGTGAACCTACGAAATAAAGATGGCAAATGATAGACTGTTATCAATAAACATAACTGAGAAAATATGAATAATATAGTGTTTGCTTTTGTTTTTTAAAGATTTTATTTTTAATCTCTACACCCAGCATGGGGCTCAAACTTACAACCCTGAGATCAAGAGTCCCATGTTCCACCAATTGAGGCAGCCAGGTGCCCCTGAATAATATAGTGCTGAGGGAAGTAGAAATATAGGGTCAAAGGTAGAGACATATTTTAAAATAGGAGAGACCCGAGTACATTTTCAGGTTGAGACAATGCAGCAAAAAGAGAGGAAGAAAATAAAGATATGAGAATATGAGGGGATAAGGTCCAAGAGGAAACAGAACATGTTTTCTGGGAGAAAACAGAAGAGGAACATTGGTAGATGGATGACATCTCAGCCCCTGAATATGGAGGAAACATGACACTAAACCAGGCAGATGTAGACATCTGTAAAGATCCCTCTCTTTGGTTAATGTCCAGCCTTTGAAGCTCCCGAGTGCTCCCCTCCTATCCCAGCCTCTTCCTGACTCATATCCTGCCCCTGCCTGCAAAAACTTGCATCCCATAGCCTAACAACTCTGGGTGTAATACCATTGATTGAAATGCCACAATGAATACCCCAAATTTGGTTAACTTAGCTTCAAACAATGAAGTAGAGGCTCAAAAAGTTCAAAGAAACATATTCACTGATTTGTACTTATATTTTTAATGTGTACTTGACATGAGAGCATGAGGCCAACTTCAAAAAAAATGGAATCCAAGTTCCAAAGTTGCCTCATGAAGCCAAGCTGTGGTTTTAAATCCTGGAGCATCAGGCTGAATCTTCTAAAACATCTATATCAAGAGTGTTGGTCCAGGCGACCAGGTCTTCTGCTTCTTCTTCCCATGACTCATTTGCATTATCATCATTTGGTAAAGCTACACTCCTCCACCTCTCCTTTGTTCTACCAGTCTTCATGACAATATCCATTTCAGTCTGTGAGTCAGCAAAATTTTGAACTATAAGAGGAAATATAAAAAAAAATTAATAGACATGGCAGGGAACACAATAAAAAGAGATGTGTTCCTGCATTTCTGGGATAGAGCCTAAGATCAGGTAGTGAATGCAAGCAACTTTTTAAAACTCTCTAAATTTTACATTTTGCAATTACTTTGTCATAAATCATTCCTTCCATTCTGGTCAGTCTTCTTTATGCTTTGTTAGTTCATTCATCTAATGTGTAATTACTGAGTCCCCACCAAGCACCGGTAGGCGTGGAAGGGAAACAGCATCTGAGAGTGCTTCAGCTGCACAAGGGTGGAACTGTTGTGTGTAAGTGAAAACAGGCTTGGATTTTGACAGAGGAGGGGCACTTTGCTGAACAGAGAAGGGCAAAGAACGAAGGTATGAGCACTCTAGACTGAGAACACAGCACATACCAAGGCACAAAGGTATAAGAGGACTTGACAGGTTTGGAGGTAATCAGAGTTGACACATCAGCATTTATGCTGAGCCAACTGCTGTGCTAAGCAGTCTACGTGGATAATATTATTTAACTTAGATACGACCCTTGTGACAGGTAGGTATTACTATCCTTATTTTATAGATGAGGAAGTTGAGACTGAGTGACCTACAGTAACTTGTCCAAGGACACCCAGCTAATAAGAATTGATTCCAGGTCCATCAGATCCCAAATCCCTGGGTTACAGTGGAGAGTTGGGTGGGGCTGGCTAGTTAGGCTGAGGCCAGATTAGGAAAGCCTCCTATATCTAGCAAAAAAGATTCATCGTTTTCTATAGGTCTTGTAAATAGGGAAATAAACTAATTATATTTAAAGGAAGAATATAGATATAGTATCTATATTGCTCAGTATTTCTACCCAGCATGGGGAACTTGTTTTTTGGGTATGTTTAACCCTAATCATGCTATTTATGTTTTGCTACAGTTGCCACCTAATTCATTGCCTAGTAAGGGATCCAGGACAAATTCTGTTGTCTCATATGTTTATTTCCCCAATTACATATCCAATAAACCTTGTAATATTCATTGCCTTCTAGTTGTGCTATGGACAAGGGTTATGAGTAAATTGTTTTCTTGGTCTCTTTGTTTTATAGAAAGACTTGTAGAGAGCTATGAGTTTAGACAACTGCCCTTATCCTAGGAGAATCTTGAGGTCTCCAACGATTGAGTTTTTAGTTTTGTATTTTAATATTTACCTCTAGCTTTCATTAGTTTAACTGTAAATTCTGTCTTTCCCTTGAGAAAACCTACTTTATTTTCTATGAACACATCATTGATAGACTAACTCCAGTCCTTTTTAACCAGGTTTAGACTGTTCTGAATTTACATGTTTTGGGGTATGAGCGCTTCAGAGCCCAATTCAAACCAGTTTAAACAATAGGCAAATGTCTTAATCTCACAGAAGAGGAAAATCAGAGGTAGGGCAGAACTGAATGATCCAGTGACTCAACAATATCATAAGGGACCAGTTCTTTCCACTGATCTGCTTTCCCATCTTTGGGGTTGTTTTCATCTTCAGACTCATAGCAAGAGAGCTGTAGCCATTCTAGTACTCACATCAGACATGGCAACATCCAGAGGAAAAAAAGGGGTCTTTCTCTCCAGAGTCTCATTTTTAAGAGTAGGAAAACCACCCCCTGAAACCCTCAGCATACTTCCTCTCAGGCAGAATTGTGTCACACGCTGCTCCTAAGCAAGTTCCTGGCAAGGAAAATGGGATTACCATGATGGGCTGACAGCAGTTGTTGGCCAGGAATGAATGCTGAAAGTCAATCACTTTGACCATTTGCCCTCTAGCTTCTGCTCTGTTAAAAACAAGAACTAACAAACAAAAACAAAAAAAAAAACCACCAAAAACCAAAAAAAAACCCCAAACTATAAAAACCTCCTCAGAAGCATAAAAAGAAATTCTGGCTAGAGTAGTTGACCATAATGTAAAACAAATATAAAAATATTTCCTTATGACACAGAAAAAATATTATTTTGAACTTCCTTCCTCCAGAAAATCTTAAGTATTATAAATCCCTCCAAGAAACCTTGGATTTACTAGTTGGAATCAATACTAAAGATGGGAATTCTGTTACTATGTTAACAAAATAACTTCTGAAAGCACAAACACTAATTGCCGTAGAGTTTGTATGCCTTTCTGGGGATGGATTCTGGAAACTCATATATATATATATATTTTTTAATCTGAAAATAATTTAATTGGTAAAGGTATTAAAATTTATTCTGGGGCGCCTGGGTGGCTCAGTCGTTAAGCGTCTGCCTTCGGCTCAGGTCATGATTCCAAGGTCCTGGGATTGAGCCCCACATCGGGCTCTCTGCTCCGCGGGAAGCCTGCTTCTCCCTCTCCCAGTCCCCCTGCTTGTGTTCCTGCTCTTGCTAACTCTGTCTCTGTCAAATAAATAAATAAAATCTTAAAAAAAAAAAAATTTATTCTGACTGGTGAGCTCTGATTATTGCCAAATGGTTTATATCCATTCACTTCTGTGTCAGTCTGGGTTCAGTTAGGAAAACAGAGGCACTATAGCTAATACAAGAATGAGGAGTTTAATATAGAAAATAGGGATTACACAGGTGTGGGGAGATGCAGGGGAGTGAAAGTCTGGAAGGCTACAGCTGGAGAACTGGAAAAGCAGTCACTACCTACTTTAGCCTGATGTGGAAAAACCAGTTCATGGGGCAGTGCAAGGAGCTGTCACACCTAGCCACCCAAAGTGGGACAAAAATTGAGAGTTCATGGAAATATTTGTGAATCCATTGTATCTGTAAAGTGGGAGTTTGTGAAGAGTTGCATGAAATTGCAGTCTGAGGAAACTGCCAATTTCTCAGGAATTAACGGCCTCTGCCTCCCTTCTACCTCCTAAATCTTTGATGTATTTTTCTCATTAGCAAACTAGGATATGCTAACCCCCTCTACAAAAGAGGAGCACAGAGTTCATTCCTTTTTCAACCGAGTCATGCTTCCCTTTCATATGCTGTATAAGCTCACTATTTCGACATAATAAGCAACCACAACATCTCGGCGGTGAGCATTTGTCCATATCACATGTTTGCAGGTCCACCAGAGATTGGCTTATCTGGGCTGGGGGTGGCTGGGGAGCTTATCTGGGGAAGCCCGGCTCTATGGCTCTCATCTTCCTCTGTGACCCAAAGGCTAGTCCAGGCATGCTCTTGTGATGGTGGCAGACGTGAAAAAGAGCAAGCCAAATTGCGCAAGCTGTTCCCAAACTCCGGGCATACCATACCCACCAACAGTCCAGTGATCAAAACAAGTCACATGGCAAAATTCAAAGTCAAGGGTCAAGGGAGTATATTTTGCCTATGGAGGTGGAACAGGATAGTGAATATTTCTTTTGTTCTTTTTTAAAGATTTATTTATTTATTTTGGGGGGAGAGAGAGAGAGAGAGTGAGTGTGTTGTTTAGGGTATGAGTGGGAGAGTGGGAAGAGACGTTACTGAAAAGGCAGATAGACATTAGAGCATTAAGGACTTTGCCATGTCAAAGAGTATAAATTTTATCCTGAACGAAATGGAGAACAAAGGATTTTAGACTCAGAAAAACATAAGCAGATGTGAGCTGTAGAAAGAAGTCTGACAAAGCATGAGCAGGAATTATTGTAATCATCAACTCAACCAAAAGATCTTTTCCCCTCGTACAGATGTGAGGGTGTGGAGAGGACAGAGTTTGCAGAGAGCAGAGAGTTCATGGAGGAAGCAGAGTCTGGCTGGAAAAGGCAACGTTTCTCACCAAGGCTTGCAGGTACCCTGAAATGCAGAAGGCGGCAGAGTGGAATAGAGAGGATTGAGGCTGGTCAGTCAGATGAGGGAGTCTAAGTGGTACACCAAACCAGGAAGGAGGAAGAAAAGTAGAATCTGAGCTGGGGAAATGCAAGTCAGAATAATGGAAACAGGGCTCTTGGAAAACCACTGAATGAAGGCTGCTGCCTCTGCCTGCCATGTCTATGCTCTTGTGTTTGAAGGACAGGGGGTCAGTGAAATGTGATAACTAGGACTTCTAGTCCTTTCCTATTCACAAAGAATGTTTACATACATGGAGTCACTTAGTCACAAGAATCCTATGTGTTAGGGCAGAATATTAGGTACTAGTATTTACTGAACATCTTCTATGTACTCAGTACTGGCTGAAGATGCAGAAACTGAAACTCAGAGGTTAAATGCCTTTCTCATAACTGCACAGACCTGGTATCTAAACGCAAGTTCTCTGACCCCAAATGTCTTGCTTTCCCCTCTATACTAGCTGATTTCTATTATAAGTTACCAACTTTCTTCCTGCTCAAGACCCTCCCTCAACTTATCCCAAGTATTTTTTTTTTAAGATTATATTTATTTATTGAGAGAGAGAGTGAGAGCAAGGGAACACAAGCAGGGGGAATGGCAGAGGGAGAGGGAGAAGCAGGCTCTCCCTGATGTGGGGCTCAATCCCAGGAGGCCAGAATCATGACCTGAGCCAAAGGCAGACACTTAAGCGACTGAGCCACCCAGGTATCCCCCAAATATTTCTTTAAAAAACATTAATTTTAAAAAAATCACCAAAAACAATTCAACCAACATTATTCCTTTCTTCTCAGCCATATTGCATATATCTCTGAGTCTACAGTGATCTTTAGGGATCAGTTTATTTGGTGTTTTTCTTGTTTTGAATGCCTTTATACACCTGGAAACTTAGCCTTAGATTTTTTTTTTTTAAAAGATTTTATTTATTTATTTGAGACAGAGAGAATGAGAGACAGAGAGCATGAGAGGGAGGAGGGTCAGAGGGAGAAGCAGACTCCCCACCGAGCAGGGAGCCCGATGCGGGACTCGATCCAGGGACTCCAGGATCATGACCTGAGCCGAAGGCAGTCGCTTAACCAACTGAGCCACCCAGGCGCCCCTATCCTTAGATTTTCAAATTGTACATTAACCTATTAAAGGGTGGTGAGCTTCAAAGCGTAAGTAATTCAATTTTTTTCCAAGTTCCAATTCCTATGTAAATAATTTACTGAATTTATTTGGTTAGTCAGAAAGAGTTAAAGCAACCTTAGAAGGAGAACACAAGATTAGGCCTCACAGATTTATATTTATCTGAACTGAAAAAAATTTACATCTATTATTATGACTAATACTTTAGTTCTAAAAACAAAGCAAAACAAATAGGCTGAACTCAATGTACTTGGAGTTGGGCAGAGATGAAATCTTTCAGTTGGATAATTGACTTTGGAAGGCCTTCTACTTTCTCTAGCCAGCCGAGCCATGGAAGCAGCATACCTAGAATGAAGAAAAGAAGTCATCTAAATTTCCAAGTGAATTCTGGGAAGTGTACATTACTTTTGAGAAAGATGAGGCAAACATATTAAATCAGACAGACAAGCAGAGTAGCGGGGTTTGATTGTGGTACCATTCTGAGTGTTCACTAGTGCAATGGTCAATGGAAATTATTCCAGTATGTTTCCTAGCAGAATAGTCATTACAAAAACAAATATGGTGTAAGATAAATACTGTAAAAGTAATGAAAGCTTCAACTGGTAAAGCAAGGTGCATTTGTTTCCTAGGGCTTCCATAACAAGTTTATTCTCTCACCGTTCTGGAGGTTGATTTTTTTTTTTTTTAAATTAGGAACCGGATGTTGAAATTTTCTTCACTTATTGAGATGATATATGATTCTTCTTTCTTATTCTATTTTATATTGTCCGAATTTTTCAAATATTAAACCAAGGTTACATTCCTGACATAAACCCCACTTGGTCATGTATAATCATCACAATTATTTATTATATAATTATATATTTATGTTATTTATGATAATTATACAATGGGATTTAATTAGCTAAAATATTTGCATCAATGTATATGAGGTGTATTTATCTGTAATGGGGTTTTTATTTTCTTTCTGGTACGGTCTGGTTTTGTTATTGAGGTAATGCTGACTTTATTTTGTTTGTTTCTTTTTATTTTATGTTTTTAAATTCAGGTATAATTAATATACAGTGTTATATTAGTATCAGGTGTACAATATAGTGATTCAACGATTCTATACATTACTCAGTGATCCTCGTGATTAGTGTACTCTTAATGTACTCTTAACCCTCTTCACCTGTTTCACCATACCCCCCCACCCCCCTGCCCACCTCCCCTCTGGGAACCATCGTTTGTTCTCTATAGTTAAGAGTCTGTTTCTTTTGTCTCTCTTTATTTTTCTTTGTTCATTTGTTTTGTTTCTTAAATTCCACATGACTGAAATCATATGGGATTTGTCTTTCTCTGACTGACTTCTGTCACTTACCCCTGTACTCTCTAGATCCATCCATGTTGTTTCAAATGGCAAGGTTTCATTCTTTTTTATGGCTGGGTAATATACCACTGTGTGTGTGTGTGCGCGTGTGTGTATGTGTGTGTGTGTATATATATATATATATACCACCTCTTCCTTATCCATTCATAAGTGGATGGCCACTTGGGCTGCTTCCATAGTTTGGTTATTGTAAATAATGCTACAGTAAACATATTGATGCATATATCTTTTTGAATTACTGTTTTTATATTCTTTGGGTAAATACCCAGTAGAGGAGTTACTGGATCATAGGGTAATTATATTTTTAACTTTTTAAAGAACTTCCATACTCTATTCCACAGTGGCTGCACCACTTTACATTCCCACCAGTAGTGAACGAGGGGTTCTTTTTCTCCCCATCCTTGTCAACACTTGTTTCTTGTGTTTTTGATTACATTTTATAATCCTTGAGTACATTTTATAAGATGAATAATAGCTACTTTAAAATCCATATCTACTAATTCCATCATCTCTATTATTTGAGGATCTATTTATATTGACAGATTTTTATTTTGGTTATGGATTATATTTTCCTGCTTATTTGCATGGCTGGGATTCTGGACATTATAAATTTTACTTTTTGTGGAATCTTACATATTCTTTTAAATATGGTTGTTCATTGTTCCAGCATGCAGTTCAGTATCTTACAAGTCAGTTTGATATATTCAAGGATTGTATTTAAACTTTCTTATGGGTCTAGAACAGCTTTTACTGGGGGGCTAATATAGCCCTAAGGCATGACCCTTCTGAAGTCTTTCTTCAATGTCCCCTTGAATTAAGAGGTCTTGCACTCTAGCAAGAACACACACTGTTTCTGGCCCTCTGTAACCATTGTGTGAGTACCAAAACAAATAAACAAACACAAAAAACAAAAACAACAAAAAATTGGAATCTTATTTTCCTCAGGACAAATATGATTTTGGAAAATAACATAACTGGGGTGCCTGGGTGGCTCAGTCGGTTAAGTGTCCGACTCCTGATTTTGGCCCAGGTCATGATCTCAGGGTTGTGAGATCGAGCCCTGCACTGGGCTTCGTGCTGGGCATGGAGCCTGATTAAAAGATTCTCTCTCTCCCTCTCCGTCTAATCCTCCCACTCCCCTAAAAAACAAACATAACTTGATTTATACATTTTATCCCTTACTGATAAATCTTTGTCTTCAAAAAACTATACAAGTATTAATATATTTTTTTTATTCAACCATTTGCCTTTATATAATTGAAAACATAAATGATAAAAGAGTTTAGTGTCGAGTGCCTGGGTGGCTCAGTCGTTAAGCGTCTGCCTTCGGTTCAGGTCATGATCCCAGGGTCCTGGGATGGAGTCCCATATCGGGCTCCCCGCTCGGCAGGAGGCCTGCTTCTCCCTTTCCCACTCCCCCTGCTTGTGTTCCTGCTCTCGCTATCTGTCAAATAAATAAATGAAATCTTAAAAAAAAAAAAGTTTAGTGTCACTAAAGAAATACAAATTAAATGACTATAAAGGAAGATGTCATAATTATTAAGTTAAAAAATAAAACTAGGAACCCAAATACTTGTTCATCTTAAATTCGTAATAATTTTGTTAGCACTGTAAGTTACTACCTGTTCTTGGAAAGTAGCTTTATGTACATAAGGAGGGTCATAAAACTTACTGTATCCCTTCCATCTAGTGATCTGATTTTTTGTTCTAAGGGAACTTCTTGGCTTCCTTCCTGTTTGTCCCTTCAGGTGGAACACAATCTAATAGGCCTCTGGGAAACCACAGCCCTCCTCAATTTCACCCCTGCTCAGACCAAGGCCCAAGCTAATCTAAGTATCACAGTTGGGGGTGGGGTGGGGTAGGGTGCTGAGGGGTAGAGGAAGGTAGGGAGGGAAATGGACAGAGAGACCCCTCACAAGAGTGTTCTATGTGGGTACAGAACCAAAGGAACAATTCTCAAAAAAAAAAAAAAGCCCAGTATGTGTTTTTGACTCCTATCAAAATCCCTCTTCTGGAGGTGAAGGGGAATGCAGCTTTAAGTCATGGTGTTTATAATATAGAATGCCCCACCAGATTCTGTGCTACAACCAGAAATCCATGGTAAAGTTTTGGGGGTACATTCTGAGAGAAAAGTTGATTAAATGAATTAAACCCATAAAAGGTGAACAATAAAAAATGTGGAATTCATTAAAAAAAAACAGTTGAAAGAACTGGGTGTGTTTATTCTGAAAAAAGAGAAAACGGGAAGTAGGAAAAAGACACAATAGCTATTTTCTGAGAGTTAAAGGATAATTCCACAAAAAAAGAAGAGTCTTATTTGTGTTGCTTCCAAGGACAAGTGGAGACACTTTATATTCTGCCACAGTATCACCGCTTGAACCATGCCTACTACCCATATCCAAAGCCATCCCCGGGTCCTGAGTGTCTGAACTGGTGCTGGTCCTAATAGATAAAAGCATGGGTTGTAGCATCTGGCAGGCCTGGATTTGAATTTCAGCTTGGTCACTTTCGGACTGTGCGATCTTAGGGAATTTTTGTTTAACTTTTTCTGTACATCTTTTTTTTTTTTTTTAAAGATTTTATTTATTTATTGGAGAGAGAGAGAGTGAGAGAGAGCATGAGAGGGGAAAGGGTCAGAGGGAGAAGCAGACTCCCCACCGAGCAGGGAGCCCGACATGGGACTTGATCCCGGGACTTCAGGATCATGACCTGAGCCGAAGGCAGTCGCTCAACCAACTGAGCCACCCAGGCACCCTGTACATCTTCTTTATAAAATGGAGATAATTTCTCATTTTCTGGATGGTTTTGCAGACAAATGTATAAAAAACATAGTAAGTCCTCAATAAAAATCTTAAGTGAAGGAAAGAAATCTAGAATTGTTGAGTATCATAAGGTATTAGATTTGAGCTAGAAATACAGGAGATTCCAGCTATTTGAATGGTCCTTGAAGTACTGAGCTCCCTGTCTCTAAAACCATTCAAGCAGAGACTAAGTAGTTGCTTGACAGAAATCATTTTTTTAAAGGGATTTTTTTCCTTTGCCTATATATTTTTTCCATGTCTATTTTTAAAGGGGACATTTCCAATGCCCATTCTAATGTTAATTCTCTCTTTAACCACAAGATGGCATTCACAGTTCAATCTTTGGGGAATAAAATAAAGCCAGCATTCCTCCTTAAAAAGGCATTAAATATATAATTATGTAAATCTATCAAAATAATGTTTAACTTCAAAAGCCCTGAAAGGACAGCACAAACATACATTAAAGTAATGTATTCAGCATAAATGTTTTCTATATAACTGGAGAAAAGGGAATCAAACATAGTAATCCCATATTTTTGTGAGTTAAAACGCAAAATCAGATAGGAACTTAGGAATAATATATATTAACCCCTTAATTTAAAATACAGTACAGCTATGTCCATAGTATATTTTATAAATATAGGAGTGTTTTATGAAGGAGAAAGGAACTAACATTGTTTAATAATAGAATTTGAGATGGACCAAAAAAACCTTTTCCACAGAAGGTAGACTTGATCTGTGCTTGCAGTTGGCTAGACCATATTTTCACATTGCCTGAAAAATTTAAGCTTTTAATAAGCATATATTAATAGGAAAGTAGGAAATAATTTAGTTTTAGTTTTCAAATACAAAATGTGTTTATCGGTAACTTTGGGCAAGTTGGTTAATCTCATGTTTCTCTCATTAGTAAACTGTAGACACTATCTACATCGATGTTTCCAGACTTTCTGTGGAGAAATTTAGGGGTGACAACCCAGGTGAAGAGGGAGGTTGGGGATTTAGTCTTGAAGCTGTGTCTGTGTATAACAGGATGTGGTTTGACTCAGCCTGCGAGCTGCCTTGCTTCGGCTTTGCAGGAGGCTGATGGGTACTACGGTGGGGTTACACTTAAGAGTGTAGGCGTCAACTCCACAGCATGGCTGGTGTTCCATTAGGAAATGAAAGAATACCTGGTTCCTGTTCCTTCTGCACCTCTGACGTATGGACAAGAGCAATACTCTCCTCTGAAGCTGCGAAGAATGTAAAACTCCAGAACTGGTAACTTTTATTTAGATAACTTGCTGTCTGACAAAGCTTAGGCAACTGGCACAGGCATTTCCATTACCACATAAGCACTCATTAGCCACAGAGTATGACATGGTCAGTTTTACATGCGCATAAGGAAGAATATTTAACAAACAGCGTGCACTGCCTTCTAGTTTTGAATCTTTCATTCTTTCTCCAGAGAAAATAAACACAAACGACTGATTAGTCTCTAGATTCATATTCTTTCCCATGTCTTAGTAGAAATAAAGCATTTGCATGAATAATTAAGAGACAGGCAAGGCAACAGGGGAGGGAAAAAGGCCTTAGAAATGATCAAATGACCAAACCAAATGATCAGTTCGTGAATATTTATGAGCTGCTTATAATGACAATGGGATCCTATTAATACTAACTAAAAACATGTGTACAACTTAAGAATTTGCATAAAATATTCATAACAGTCATTTATATTTCCAGTTTTCAATCACTCTTCTACTACACTCTTAGAATTCCCCAAATAGAACCATTATCTTTCTATTAGAACTGGCCTTAATACAAGTCAGGGTCTACGTTTAATTTTTCTAAAAGTTAAGTGTCTTCGCAGTTAATTCACCTATTGAGTGGGGCAACAGGGTAAGTATGTACCATTCAACAAACACAACTGCGTGCCTGCTAGGTGCCGGGTACCGTGTTAAGTGCTGAGAATAGAAAGCCACAATAATGGCCTTGCCCTGGTCACTCTCCATGAACTGATGAATTTCTCCACCACAGGTGCTGAAAGAGACAGGGACAGAGTGCTATGGAAGGAGAGCATGGGGGGACGTGGAAGCCTGACTCAGGGTTCCTTTCACAAAGAGATGTTGGGCTGGATTTTCACACCATCCTTGTGATGCACTTTGCCAGGCAGGAGAGAGCACAGCGGCTGAAAAGGGAAAAGAACCACGTGTATGCTGGAATTAAAATAAATGTGGTCATGGGGCGCCTGGGTGGCTCAGTTGGTTAAGCAACTGCCTTTGGCTCAGGTCATGATCCCGGAGTCCCGGGATTGAGTCCCGCATCAGGCTCCCTGCTCAGCAGGGAGTCTGCTTCTCCCTCTGACCCTCCTCCCTCTCATGCTCTCTGTCTCTCATTCTCTCTCTCGCAAATAAATAAAATCTTAAAAAAAATAAATAAATAAAATAAATGTGGTCATGATAGGTGGCCATGCCTGTGTTCTAACTGGAGAAAATGTTACAATTTTAACCTCTTTCTGACAGAGACTATATTTATTCTCTGAAAAGTTGGGGGGTGTGGGTTTTTGTCTCCTCCTTTCCTCAGGAACTGATAATTGTTGAATGTCTATAAGTCAACACTATATGACTATATATCTATGATCTCAAGAGAGCAAATGCAAAACAACTTTGCAAGGTAAGTCACGTTATCTCTATTTAACAGATAAGGAAACAAGCTGAAAGTGGGTAAGAATTTCTCTAAGATCTGTCTGACCCTAAGGCCCATGCTTTTTCCCCCCATGCTACCTCCAAAGAAAGGTGTTCTGTCTGAAAATGGAACTAGGGCCACAGTAGGAAAAGCATGAATAATAGTGAACCAAAGAGATACTGCTTGAAGAAGTTTACATGTATTAATTTATTAATCCTCCCAATCTCCTTGGGGGGTGGGTACAGTTATCACTGCCACTTAACAGATAAGGAAACTGAGGCACAAAGAAATCTAATAACTTGCCCTTGCCCTATCAAGGCATTGGTAACTGGCAGAGCCAGGATTGAAATTCAGATAGTCTGGCTCCCGTGTCCCTGTGCTTAAGGACTCCACATTCCACCTTTTCATTCAGACCAAAGCCTAACTCTAGACCACCAGCAAAGACCCTGCTGGGAAAGATATCCCAGGCGGAAGGCACAAAGTGGTGAAGAGATCTTATGTCCCGAAATAATAGTGAGAAAAAAGAACTTCGTGTGGCTTAAGAATCGAGTCTTGATTGATGAGGAGATGGGAGGACAGTAGGAGGAGGGATATGAAGCAGGAAAGATAGGTCTTTTTCCTTAATGCTATGCAGATGAAAGGCTGTTAATTTGCATTTTCTGGCTTTTTTTTAAACAGGAAATTTCAGTGCAAAAAAAGCATTTTCAATATTAAAACAGAGAAACGCATAATGGTATTATTGTATTGCATGCACATATAGACCAATCACTCACTTGCAAAGATGCCCAAACATTTTCTACTTGAGTCTCTAGGAATTGACCACTTTATTATATTGTATTTTGACAGAACATGAGACTTCTAATAATTATTTGAAAAAGAAGTGGATTCATCACACTTTAGATTTTTGCAACATATTGTTGCACACTTATGCTACAATAAAATTATTCAGCTAAATGTAATATCTTTCAAAAACTTTATTTAGTGTTTTTAAATTAATCAACTCCAAAATTTGAAAAAAACTATCATTTGATCTAAATATATTCTCATCAACCACCAGATGGCATAAGGTGTGAGAGTTTTATTCTGACAAGTCAACCATGCACATGATAATTTGACCTGCAACTTCAAAATAATGTATTTGGAAAAGTGTTCTAGCACTCAAACAGCTCACAATTATTTCAGCCATATGTAGAAGTGTATGGATAAGTTGAAAATGACATGGCCCTACTATTTCTAAATTTGGGGTTCTGTGGGATGCTGGCATTACATAATGAATTGATGATCAAATAAATAAAACAAAGCAGTCTGTTAAAGGAAATAAAAAAGGAAGTCATGTCAAAGCAAAATTAACCTTATATTCTAAGTAGCTTTCTTTAACTCTAAACGAAACTTGAAACACAGCTTCAAGAAAAAAACATGCTTGTACGCCTTCAAATTCTGCTTTAAAAAACTTTTCTACTGCCTATAATTTATTTGGAAAGCAGAAAAATATCGAATGCAAAAGCTTTTCTCCACTTTGGCTCGAAGGGAAGTTTTCACAGACGTCAACTGAAAAAAGAATATCCAACCGAAAAACCCAATCTGAATTATGATGTTAAAGGACAGGAAAGTATGTTTTTTTTTAAGAACTTCAATTTCTACACAAATTCAAAATACAGCACATTATTTTTATTAATCCTGTATTTCCATTTGTTAGCAAGCTAAAGAGCTAAAAACTAAGGTAAATGCCAAAAAAAGAGGAGGGATCTTTAATTCCCCTTGTGTTGTGTAGAATATTTACTGAGTACTTTGAAATAAGCGTACTAGAATAAATAAGTACTATAACCTAGCCAACATCACAGGGCTTTGCTCTAGTATGATGAAAAAGAAAAACTGCCTTTAGGACTCAAGTGACCAAAGATGAGATTAAGATCCCTTCGATGTAGTCTAATAGACAATGATTTCTGGAGATACTGTAATAGTTTAATTTCATATTTTACTATATACTTCCTCGTTAGATGAAATAATTTGGTTCCTGAATGAAAAATCTGTGGAAGAGGAAAAGATATTTGGAACTATGAGAAGGATGAAAAGCTAACTGGTGATATATAAACAGGGTTCTGTTTTGTTTTTTCCAATTTTTTAAGAGAGTTTATTTAAGAGAGAAAGAGAGCGCACATGCGCACAAGTGGGGGAAAGGGGCAGAGGGAGAGAGAGAATCTCAAGCAAACTCCCCACTGAGCCCGGAACCCCAAGTGGGGCTCCATCCCACAACTCTGAGATCATGAACGGAACCGAAATCAAGAGTCGACAGCTTAACCGACAGTCACCAAGGCACCCCTTTCCTAGTTCTAAGTCATATGTTGATAAGGATAATGGGAATGGGCGAAAGAGAATTAATGCAGGGGGTATTGTGAGAGTCCTTCACTGTGCCTCATGTCCATCTTTATTTTTGGCAGTCAATAGGTGAAAATTAATAAAGGGAACCCTCACTAAAATGGAGTTGGGGGGCCAGAAGGTGGAGCCCTACTACCCAACATCAATTACAAGAACTGTCCATTACAGAGGAATCATCAACAGAAAAGAATCCTCAAAATCCTCGGTCACAAATAGCAACAGGGAAAGATGTACATTGCATCTCCTGTAAGAAACTGACTACTCCAGCAACTCAGCCAATGACAAACAGGCATCATTCTGAACACTTGCTTTTCTCCCATGGACTTCCTTTCAAAACAACTCTTCCCAACTTCTTCTTTCTCTATAAAGTGACATTCCTCTTCCTAATTTCTTGGACTTGCCCTGTGGTTTTGACCTAGCTTGCAAATCCCAAATTGCTATTCTCTGCTATTCCTGAATAAACCCATTTTTGCTGGTCAAATAATTTACATTTTTAAGGTTAATAGTAGCAAAGATGTTTCCCACCTGGGTTCATAGGAAAGGAAAAAAATTATATGTCTAATTCTTGTTCTTATGTTTAGAAAAAGGCATCCATTGTTATTTCCAAAGATTTCTTCTGATGATTCAGTTAGACAGTAGAAAGTAAAATGATATTTAAGTTAATACAAAGTACTTACTTTAAATTCCATTCTTTAGGATGTTTTAATTCAGCTTTCTTCCATTTACAATACTCTACAACAAAATTTGGATCTTCAAGCACTGAAATTAGAGTTTTGAAAAAGGAGCTGTGTGTGCATTCTTTAATAATAGTTCAAAGTTTAAAATAATTTACTTTTCATCAAGTCGATATATGGCAATGATGTACACTATATAGTTCAAGTCATACTACAATGCTCACTTTACGAATTTCTTCCTTTTACTTGAACTTTGAAACAAGTAGATTTATCTTCAAAGTTTTCATTATAATAACATTTGTTTATATATCATTTATAGTAATGAAGAAGGTGTTAAAATAACTCATATAGAAACTACAGACACCACAGTTTAACACCACACTCACTACAAGTGAAAAAATAAAATCTTGGAGTTGGAAGTGACATTATAGGTCTTGATCTTCCACAAAGAATTTTCAACGGATGGATCAATTGGATGATCACCCAATCCAGCCTCTGAATGAATCCCTTGCCAATGACAGAAGACTTCCCTGTTGTTGGGAAACTGCCTGTTCCATTGCCAGACAGTAAGGTCACAATGTCTTTCTTAATCTGAGTGCTGAGTTTCCACTCGTCCTAGTTCTGACCTCTGGAGCAATACTAACTAGGTTCATCCTTTCCCCATGGGAGAGAGCCCTTCTAATATTTGAAGATAGCTCTCAGAACAGCCTCAGTTCCCTCAACTTCATCTTAAGACATGGCTTCTAGAGACCTAACCATCCTCACCATCCTGGTGGTAAACTTTGTTAATGTTCCTATTAAAGTTCACATCCAGAACTGGCTCAGGATCTTGATTTCTTTTGAATAGCAAAGGTGTAAGTGGGTTACTACCTCCCTTGACCTGTGTGCTACACTTCTATCAATTCATCTCAGATCTGTAGTAGGATTTTCTGGAAATCACATTACACCACTGGCACATATGTCTGTGGTTAATTATAAGCCTTATGCCTTCAATCAAATTAACATAAAATTTATTGAAAGCCAGATCTCACACACACACACACACACCTTATCTATCATCTATCTATCTATCTATCTATCTATCTATCTATCTATCTATCTATCTATCATTTCCCTGTTTCTTGTAATTGTTCTGGGTTTATAGTCTTGAACAATTTAACCAACTAGATGCTCTCCACCAGACTTACCTTTATCTGGAGCTTCCCTCTAAACAATGATTGATTAACCTCTGCTAGCCTGATGAAATATGTCATTGATAGAAACATTTAAACTGAATAGTTCTCATTTTCTTCTATTAATATTATATAATTTTCACCAGCAATGTTCCTGTCTTTTTTTTCTTCCTTCAAACACAAATACACATACATACACTTTTTTTTTTTAAAGATTTTATTTATTTTATTTGAGAGAGCACAAGTGAGGGGAGGAGCAGAGGGAGAAAAGCAAACTCCCCACTGAGCAGGGAGCCCTGGATGGAGCTTAATCCTAGGACCCTGGGATCATGACCTGAGCTGAAGGCAGACACTTAACCAACTGGGCTACCCAGGCACCTCTACATACATATTCTTATAGCCTTTATTAATATTCTTTTTGTTAGTATTTAGACTTATGCTCCTCCATTCCTTATTAAGGAAGCAAATCTGAGCTCCCTAGGGTTCTTAGGTCTCATTATTTCCTTTAGATGATTATAGTACTAATATTAATAGAGTTCTTCCTACACATTGGACACCTGTAAAGTAGGTAAGCAGTGGTTACCATTACAATATACACTTTACAGATGAACAAACAGAAAATTGATTAATGTCTTCTCATTGGGACTATTCATTACCACTTAGACAAAATTTAAATTTGAGGTTTCTATTCAAGATTAATTCATACATTTCCTTAATTTTTTTGAAATCACCTTTCCTACATTTTCTGTTTGAATATGTGCATTAGTTTCTTCCTTATATGTTATGAAACACCAAATGGTATGGTCATCCTTCCTGAATATTTCCATTAATTTTATATCATTGACTCATCTTCTTCATTGCTTTCTCTGAGAGATGAAAAATGCCACAGTATTTGTACAGACTTTTATTTTAATGCTTCCTATTTTATCCCTATAATTTTTTCATTCACCATTCTACCATCTGACCATAAACTTCTTAAAAAGCTTAGCATAATATGTATGTTGTCTCTAACACACAGCCCATTGTCTAGACATGGAAGATGCTCAATGAGGGATGGTGGATAGGAGGGCAATAATGCAGGGGTAGGGGGCGCGTGAGAGCAAGAAGGAGGAAAGGACCAGTGAAATTTTGTCAGAAGTTTTTGAAGCTGAAATTCCCCATCATGACCATATCTCGTCTTTGTGGCAGTTTTGTAGTCTGTGGTAAAAAATCATCTTCTGTTGGCTCCATAATACACTTATTTCTTCCCTTCCTTCTAAGGATTACTGTACATCACCTTCACTTTGTTTTTTCCATGGCACATCTCTTGTCCAACATCTGTATAGGTTGATCTAAATTTTTCTTCTGCTGCTGGGACTGTCACATCCAAAGAAACATAATAGCATCAACTTGCCTTAGGATGTTTTATTTTCAGACATGTTATCTCATACTAACCACAGAGCAACTTAAAATAGAGTGGAATGCTTCTGTCAATGAAAAGAAATGAAAAACGAGGCACAAAGAGTTAAATGACTAACCTAAATTCACTTAACTGTATGTGGCAGAAGCAGTACAGAGCTATGGAGTCTCTAACTTCCAACCTCATGCTCTTCCCACTGCAGCCTTTTCAACCTTGGTTGCACATTGTAATCACCTGGGGACCTTTAAAAACTTGACTACTGCCAGCCCCTGCCCCCAGAGATCCTGATGTCAGTCTGGGGGGGTGCCTTTTACACGGGAATTTTTACAAGTTCCTCTGGTGGTTCTAATAAGCGGTAAAGACTGAGAACCACTGCATTAGAATGAGGTGATGCTGCCTCTTGCATCTAAATGCATTCTGGAGACACTTGCCCTTATTTCTAGCTCAAAGACTCAAAGAAGGGAAGTCTTTTAGGGTGAAAGCAAGCATCCCCATGATGTTTCAGGGTGTCTGGTCTGTCTGATGACAGCAAACCAACACCAAGAAGCCTCCACTCAGTATTACAGGGTACACTGGTCTGAAGGAATTCTTTTCCCTTTAACATAAATATTTCCTTATGGATCATATTCTGTCATTAAGGTGCTGTTGCCCACAACCATATGTATTGGTTTTTCTCTGCCAGAATTTTATTTGCCATTCTATACTGATGGACAGAGAACAGTGGATCATCAGTACATTTCCCCATATGATTGCCTATGATTATAAACTAATAATTACAATTATTGAAAAATATACTGCATATACTTCGGAGTTTGAATTTAAATCTCAGGCTACATAGAGATAGCATTTTTATACCACACTATGGAAGCAGTATAGCATGATAAAAAGAGCAACAGATGTGGAGTCAGAGGAACTGGGTCAAGTCCTAGAGTGACAGCCTACTTGTACTAATAACAGCCACCTTCATTGAGCACTCACTATGTGCTAGGCACTATTTTAATTGCTTCAGTGCTATGAGATATGTGATGTAATTATTCTCATTTTACAGACAGGGAACTGACACAGAGAGGTTAAGAAACTCACCCAAGGTCACATAGCTAGTAAGTAGCAGAGCCAGAATTAAATCTCAGCAATCTGGCTCTAGAATTTATACTCTTTACCAATATATAATATCCCCTCTTACCTGTGTGACTTTAGGTAAATTACTTAGCTTCTCTTGGTCTTGGTTTTCTCATCTCTAAGACAGAGTAATAATAATAATAATGATGCCTGGTTCATAGGCTTGATATACTACTATGCATGACATATATTAGGCATTCAGTAAACATTGGTTGACAAATGAATAAAAGATTAAGATGAGGATGATTAAAAAACAATACAGAGTATACTTTGTAAACTGTATTGTACATGAATAAACTTACTATTACTATGGCACACATGACTATGGGTGGATTTGTAGCACAAAGATATGGAAAAGAGTTAATACCCCAAATCAAAATATAACCACTCATCAGTATGAATAAAAAAGCTTTTAAAAATATGCACAAGAGTTTCATAATCTTTGCAGTGATAAGAATGTAACTGTAGAGGGGCACCTGGGTAGCTCAGCTGGTTAAGCATCCGACTCTTGATTTCAGCTAAGGTCATGATCTCAGGGCTGTGAGCTTGAGCCCTGTGTTGGACTCTGAGCTGGGAGTGGAGACTGCTTAAGATTCTCTCTCCCCCCTGCCCCTACGTCTCTCTAAAAAAAATAAAATAAATTTTTAAAAAAGAATGTAACTGTAGAAACTGAAGTTATTAGAAGTTTCCCTTTTATTTCTCAGTAGCTGAAGAAGCATTCTATAATCTCAAAACTTCATCTTTATTATTGCCAGGAAATTAGGCTGTTAAAAAATAGTATTGGATCTCATCCAGCTGAATTATCCAAAAACAAAATGGCCAGCAGCACATGTAAGGTTTAAATTTAATTTTTAAAAATTAAGTGCTGGTTATTATTAAAGGAAAGCTCCTGAAACATTCTTATAACAAATCCCTAGGGGAAGAACAGGCAGGGTGATTGTGAAATCTTGCACCAAGGGCTAGAATCAGTCTCAGAAATTCTTCTGGGCTAGAGGCAGCCACTAAAGCTATTGCCTTTGCAAAAGGGGATAAATTACATACTAAGTAGTGATAACCATGGAAATGAGAACCAAATTAAACATTTTAGTATTAACTCTTTTGAAGAAGAAACTGCAGTCAGTGGTACTTCATTATTTCCTTCCATTTTTAATTGTTTTTTATTGCAAGACAATCATTTCCAAATTCCCTGAAGTTCTGGCATGTGCTTCTATTTGTTTTTCTTAGCAGTTTGAAGTTTCCAAATGCTTCTATATATTTACATGCTATTCCATAAGACACCATTTTCTTGGTTTGTTTTGTGGTTGAAGGAGTTGGATGCTGAGTCTTTCCCTAGACTGTGCCAACTGCCTCTGGACGCCTTGTTTGTTAAGGGTTCCTGCCTCCTGGAGCCCATCTGAGTTCCTCAGTGTTTCCACACAGGAGGTACTCAAGATGTGTTTGCTGAGTTGACTAGGCAGCACCCAACCAAAAATCTATGAAATGAAATAAATACTCATGTACTCTGGCATCAAAAGTAATAAAATTCTTTATACTGATAGTGTTGCCAAAGATTGTGTTTCTTTAAGCACCTTAATAATTTTTCATAACCACTAATCTATGATTAGTGAGGAAGGTAATGGGTGATCAAAAAATAATACCCAACATCCTGAAAGAACATGTAATTTCTTAGAAGTTACTGATCTAATTTATTTTTAAATATTTGTTAAGCTTGGCATTACTTTTTGCTCTAATTTGTGCCTTAAAACTACAAACTTTTTTGGTGATATTTTGTTCTATTGAAACCAAATATGAGACTATCACAATAATGAGATGAAATTCAGTGAGACCACAGATTAAAGCAGTGGTCATCAGGGTGGAGTGGGGATGGAAACACTCCTAATGTTGTAGGAGATAAAGTAAACAAGGCTTAATTTGGCAGGTAAAGAGCTCTAAGAAGTGTCTATGATTTTGGTTTAGACAAGTAAATGCAATAATGGTGATCTAGCACTAACCAAGGGAGGTGATAATGGTGGGAGGATAGGTTTTGGGGCAAGATAGTGAATTAACTTTGGGACATCTTAAGTAGGAGATGCCTGAAACCCATGTAGGTGAAAGTCCAATGGACAGTTGTAAATATGCATGCAGAATTCAGAAGAGGGCCTGACCAGTGATGAGGCTTTGGGAATTACTGGCAGGTAGCATAGCAAAAAAGAGTACAAGTAAGATAAAGGCTAAAAAGTTATCATTGAACTTGGGAGTTAGGAAGTCATGGGTCACTTCTGAATGCTCCATTTCAGCAGGATAGCAGGGCAGCAGACTGGATAACTTACTTGGATCTAAATCATGAAATAGCACACTAAAGATTCAATTAGATGGGACAGAAAGTTGTCCAACTCTCCCCTTCTGTCTTTTTAGCTCCTAATATATGTGATTTTTTCCTTAGACTGATATAATTGAAAGCTCTAGGTTCATATGTTTTCTTGCTATCTTTCTACTTAATACTTTCTCTGGCTTTGAGGATAATTGTGTTTAGAATCAAAAAGGCTCCTCCTGCTATGAAGGTTCCATGTCTCGGGGTGGAGTAAAGTAAGTCTCATAAGATTGAGAACGTCATCTTTTATTCCTCCAACTGTCTATGTTTCTTTCTGACTTTGAATGAGGCTTCAGTCCAGGACTCTATACAAAAGAGGAACTAAATTAAGAGTTGTTGAATGTTTCATATATAAAGGTAACAGAGAAGTTTATCACCTTCTGATTATAAATATATGTCAATTAGTCTTTGAAAGCAAGACAAGTTGAGAATAATTAGGAGATTAATATACACAAAAGGACAAAAGATAAGGCTAGACCACCTTACATGGACTTCTATAGTATTCTGTGGCTTTTGATGTTGCTATTCCGGACCATGTCTTGTAGTAATCATTAAATGAGATTGCTTTAGTTGATCTGAAAATATACATTGAAATCAGATGAGTATTGGCAAGTTTCCTTTTTAAAATTATTTTGTCAGAGTAGATTGTTTCAGATAACAATATCCTGCCATAAGACATTAAACTGATTTGCCATTTCTAACAAATGATCTATCAATTTCTCCACTAACACATACAAATCACAAAAAAGAAAAACTCTCCAAAACATATTTCAAAATAAATGTTAAAAATGTACACCCATGTGTATATTATAAAAAGAAAAATACAAGTTTAAGATATCTGCCTTTCATGACTAACATTAAAAAAGGATTTTAATAAAAGCATCATATTTGCACTTCTTTTCTTTCTACAATAAACAGTTTTCTTAAATATCTATGCCAAATTTCAGTAAAATCACTTTTATTTCCTTTTTATTATGAGGAAAAGTAAAACACCAGAATTGAGACCAGTTTAATTTTCACACAGAATCTGGTCATTTTCATAGAAGGAAAAAACCAACTCTTCTAACAATCCTGCCTACACTTATCCTTCCCTGTACTAATATTACTCTATCCTAATGGAAGAGCAAAGATAATAAAATATTGAACTGCGAAACAGTCACTTAAATAACTGCATTTCTAATTTTTTTCCTACAAACAATTTAATTGCAGAGATTCTCAATGCTCTACAAACAAAATGTTTCTTTGGGCTGTTTTTCAGACATGTGAAATCACCAATTAGCTGGCTTAAGTAGATGCTGAAACATCAGACATAAAAGACCTTATGTCCGGTTTCCATTTGAAGTTCTTAGCTCTTTGGAGGAAGCAGCAACTTTTCAGTTAGAATGAGTACACCAGCATTAATTTTTATAGGTGAATTGTAGGTACCTTAAATATTGAACTCAATTTGGAAATGAATAGGACAATATCTAAATTCTTGAATGCGTCATTTATTTAAATGATAATTACAGATGCCTAATTTTAAGAGTAACATTTTTTCAAATGTGTTATTGTTTTTGCAATCACACTTAAGTAGAAATCTGAAACTGGGTGAAGATAAATTAATCACTACTATTATTGCTTCCAGAGCTACATGCGGTGCTTTACCCCACTAAATGACATATTAAACTAACATTAATTTTGCCAACGAAATGTTTCGGCATTTGGCAACAGAGGTAACAAAATGAAAGGCTGCATTATATCTCCTGCATGAAAAAGCTTGTGATCAATTTGCTGTCACAGATCATTTAGCAGACAACAATGACCCAAGAGGAAGGAAACTGTCAACACACTGTCTCGTGAAAAAAAATACACCATCTTTAGGCACAATCGTCTCCATTGTTTTTTTGTCTGTTTGACGACGACCCATGACCCTCTCCCTTCCCAGCGGTGTCCTGTTCAATTTCAAACTGTTAGCCTTCAGGGGCTTTCTTTTCTTCCCCAGAATAATTAAAAATATTACCCTAAAAGGTATGACTTTAGTATAGTTTGAATATACAAAGCAGAATGTCTTAAACATTTGAGAATACTGCATTTTCAATTCTGTAAAAGAAACACTCCTTAAAATAAGAGAACAGTAACAATTTTTATGATTATTCAGATAAGCTACTAAGTTCACAGGGAAGTATAAAAAATACATGTGTTTATAATTTGAAACATTAACAGGAATTTACTGAGTATTATCATTAGCATTATGAATAAGGAAAAGTAGAAGATAATTTAAAACTGAACATCAGAGCTTATTATCCTATTGGGAAAATAAAATATACACCCAAATTAGCAAATAGAATAGCTTTATATATTGACATATAAAGTGTTACATCATTTAACACAGACATTTGGAGATGACAATGACAGATACTTCTTTGGCAGTGGCAGTAAGCTAAAAAAGTTGGAAGAGAGAGATGTAACTTTGTCTTGGAGCCTTTAGGGAAGGAGTCACTTGGGATATGGACCTGGAACAGATGGCGGAGGCATTTTAAGTGAGGAGAACAGTATTAGCAATAGCTCAGATGGGAAGGAGCATGGTGCGTGTGCAACAGAGCATGTTGGGGGAAGAGACAATAGAAATGAGATAACTGACTAGGGTGGAGAGTTCCAATTTCAGAGGAATTGGAATTTGATAGAATAACTAAAACTGGGCAATGCAGATCTTCAGATTTAGGCAGAGAATGGGTTAGAGTTGATTCAGGAATCTGATTTATTAGGTGATAGAGAGCAAGCAGAAGTTCTTGAATAAGGCAAGTAAATTATGAACCACGTGTCTGAGTAAGAGTTTTTTCTGGCGTTAGTATACAGGGTGGAGTATATGAGAGATTAAATGCAGGGAGACAAGTTAGGAAACAGATGCAGTAATTCAGGCAAGAAATGCAGAGCTAACAGAGGGTGGGAGCAGAGACTATGGAGGTGAGGAGATGAATCTCTGACATGCTAATGAAATGACTGGACTGGTTTTCTGATAGGGTGTGAGAGGTGAAGGAATCTGAGGGTCAGATATTCTTCTAAAGCCCAGAAGACCATTTAGTTTTGCTATTAACAGAAAGCATCTAGAGACTCTGAAGTAAAATATGAGTTTAAATTTAAACATGGGTTTTAGGTGATGACCTTTAAGAGTGTGATTGAGAAATTGAGACTGGAAATAAGAGATTTGGGTCAAATCAACATAAAGGTTGATAGATGACGCCATTAGAGAAAACAAACACAGAAAGAGTTAAGTGTTTAGAAAAGAAAGATCGGAAACCAATTCAGAGTTAAGGGGAGCCAGTGAAGGAAACAAAAAGGATCATTAAGGGAAGAAGAGAGTCGGGGTAGTGCTAGTTCATGGAAGCAACATCCCAGCCATAAACCAAGCCTACTAATTAAACCCCTACAAATCTCTGGGTATTTAGCTGTGTAATATCATGATTAAGAGTACAGGCTCTCGAATCATCTGGCCTGTGTTAAAACACTCAGGTACCACTACTTTTTAGCTGTGTGACTCTGGGCAGATAACTATTTCACTCCTGTTTCCTCATCTATAAAATTAAGAGAGAGAAATTTGTCCAGCAGTTGTGGTGAGAATTCTAATGAAATTATCCACAGGAAGAGCCAGGCAGGAGTTTAGCATCCCTTAGTACTCACTGTCAGTCTTGGGCAAGTACCTCATCATTTCTCTTCCACAAACTCTACCTCAGTTTCTCTCTCTCTATTCCAGGACATCATGCCTCTGCTTAAAAACCACTTTTGGTTATGTAATTCTATAGGATGGAGCCTAAACACTTTCAAACATAACTTGGGGTTCATTAGCATCTGGCTATTTCCAACCATTTCTTCCCCCATTCATCTGCACATGCAGAGGCTCCATCATATGGAACTTCTCGATGATGTGGAGTACACCACAATATTACATTTCTGTGTGTGTGCAAGCAGGTCTATCTGGAGACTTCTGTGTCTCCTGTGCTTGTCAAACTCTTACTTACCAAGGTTTCAGTCCAATAAAAATAGTATGTATATGAAGGCTGTCACAGTGGACATTGTGGTTGCCTCTCCAATAACTATTCCACTCTTCCCCCCTATGTACATGACATTCAATCTGATAGGACTGACCTCCACCCCGACTCTAAGTCAGAGCCTGATGGGTTTAAAGCTGTCTGGCAATGGTAACTATTTAGGGACAGGAACATGAACCTAGAAAGATCCAATCAGAGTGAAATTTATTCTAACTTTCCAGTACACCTTGATATCTGAGAATGTCAATCCTCTTTGTTCAAGATTATCTTATCCTAAATCCTTTGCATTTGTAGATATATTTTATTTTTTACTTATGTATTTATTTTTTTAGAGGGAGAGAAAGAGAGGGTGAGGGGCAAAGGGAGAGGGAGCAGGGGAAGGAAACAGGGAGAGGGAGAGAGCGAATCTTAAGCAGGCTCCATGCCCAGCTTGGAGTTTGACACAGGGCTCGATATCACAACCCTGAGATCCTGACCTGAGTTGAAATCAAGAGTCGGATGCTTAATCGACTGAGCCACCAGGTACCCCTGTAAATATATTTTAAAACCACCTTGTTAATTTCCAGGAAAAAAAATGTTGAGATTTTGACTAAGATTGAGTTGAATCTATAGATTAATTTGGGAAGAACTGACATTGCAATAATATTGAGTCTCTCTCAAGTCACAAACATTGTATATCTATTTCTTTAGGTCTTTTGAAATTTTTTCCAGATATATCTTGTGGTCTTCAGCGTAGATGTCTTATTCCTGTCTTGTTACATTTTGATGCTATTGCAATGGTATTTCTTTTTCTTTTCTTTTTTTTTTTAGATTTTTATTTGAGAGAGAGAGTGAGAGGGAGCACAGGCAGGGGGAGGAGCAGAGGGAGAGGAAGTAGTAGACTCCCCTGCTGAGCAGGGACCCCATCATGAGGCTTATTCCCAGGACCCTGGGATCATGACCTGAGCCGAAGGCAGATGCTTACCCCACTGAGCCACCCAGACACCCCTGTAATGGTATTTCTAACATTTCCATTTCTATGTATTGATTGCTACTGTATAAAAATATAGTTGCTTTTTAAAATGTTCATCTTATATCCAGGGATCTTGCTAAATTCACTTATTAATTTTCAAGTTTATGTATTCCTTTGGATTTTAATATTATAAAATCCTGTTATCTATGAATAAAGATGGTTTACTTCATCCTTCCCAAACTTTGTAACTTTTTTTCCTGGCTTCACTGCACTGACTAGGACTTCCCATACAATGCTGAATAGAAGTGGTGATAATGGACATACATGCGTTGTTGCTAAACTCAGGACAAAAGCATTCAACATTTCGCATTTAAGTATGAGGTTTGCTGTTGGATTTTTGTAGTTTCTCTTCACTGGAATAAAGAATTTCTTCTCTATTCCTAGTTTGGTGAGAATTTTTGTCATGAATGGGTGAGAAATTTTAGCAAATACCTTTTCCTGATTCATTGAGATCATTTTATGTTTTTTTCCTTTATTTGGTTACCTTAGTTACACTGATTTTTACTGCGTGGAGCCCTGGGTGTTACACGAAAACAATGAATTGTGGATCACTACATCAATAACTAATGATGTATTGTATGGTGACTAACATAATAAAATAAAATAAAATTTAAAAAATAAATTTTTTAATATTCTTTATTTTATTTTTTATTATGTTATGTTAGTCACCATACAGTACTTCATTAGTTTCTGATGTAGTGTTCCATGATTCACTGTTTGCATATAATAGCCAGTGTTCCTTGTAATATGTGCCCCAACCTGGCTTTCCTGAAATAAAGCCCTCCTAGTCATGATGTATTATCCCTCTTTATGTATCAGTGGACTCAATTTGCTAATATTTTGATTAGGCTTTATGCTTCTGTGTTTATGAGATATTGGCCTATAATTTTTCTTTCTTGTAATAATCTTATCAGATTTTCAAATCAGTTTGGAAGTTTCGAAGTATACCCATTATCTCTATTCAGTGAAAAAGTTTGAATACTTTTCTTCAAAAGTATTTTCTTCTTTTGTTTTGAAATACATGCATACCTTGTTTTGTTGTGCTTTGCAGACATTGCATTTTTACAAACTGCAGGCTTGTGTTAACCCTGTGTCAAGCCAATCTATGGGCATCAGGTTTCCAACAGCTTTGGCTTACTCTGGGTCACATGTTGGTAATTTTCGCTAATATTTTAAGCTTTTTCATTATGATATTAATTATGATGATCTGTGATCAGTGCTCTTCGATGTTACCATTGTAATTACTTTGGGGTGCCATCAACAACGCCTATATACTATATAGTACGGCAAACGTACTTGATAGATGGGTTCTGACTGCTCCACCCACCAGTTATTCCCCTGTCTTTCTCCCCCTCCTCCAGCCTCCCTATTCTGTGACACAACAATCTTGAAATTAGGACAATTAATAACCCTACAATGGTCTCCAAGTGTTCAAGTGAGAGGAAGAATAGCACATCTCTCATTTTAAATCAGAAGCTAGACATGATTAAGCTTAATAAGGAAGCCTTATGAAAAGCAGAGATAGGCTGAAAATGAGGCCTCATGAACCAGTTAGTCAAGTCGTGAAGGCAAAGGAAAAGCTCTCAAAAGAAATTAAAAGTGCTACTCCAGTGAACACACAAATGACAGAAAGCAAAACAGCCTTATTGCAGATATGAAGATAGTCTGAGTGTCTGGAAAGAAGATCAAACCAGCCACAACATTCCCTTAAGACAAAGCCGAATCCAGAGGAGGGCCCGAGCTCTCTTCATTCCATGAAGGCTGAGAGAGGTGAGGAAGCTGCAGGAGGAAAGTCTGAAGCTAGCAGAGGCTGGCTCATGAGGTTTAAGGAAAGAAGCCGTCTCCATGACATCAAAGTGCAAGGGGAAGCAGCAAGTGCTGATGGAGAAGCTGTGCAAGTGATCCAGGAGATCGAGCTCAGATAACATATGTAATATTTCATAACCCATCCTTCACCTCCGTTTAATGTTAGTAAGTAAACGTCTGCAGAACCATGTCCAAAAGACACTTCTATTCTCTTGATATCTGGCAACCAATCCCCTTCTCCCCTCCCCCCTTTGGTTTTGTATCTCAGCTCCTGATACACTTTTGTTGCCTCTGGCATCTGGATTCACTTTTTATGCTGGATGTCAACTTACTTTCCGTTAGGTCAGGCTGTGGGAAATATGCTCTCTCATATCTCCATGCTTTTGAGTTATTCTCTCTGCCTGAATGTCCTTCTTCTCTTGTCTGCAGGTGAATTCCTATTCTACCTTTAGAAATCACCTCAGGCATCACCTTCTCCTGGAAGCTGGCCTTTATATATCCCTTCCCCCATTCCAGGACTCCAAGCTTTAGGAAGATATTTCTCCCTCCAAACTCTTCCAGCATCTAGATCTTGTCTGTATAATACCACTTATTATAAGTATTCATGTAATAAAACAATTAATAGGTATGGCCCAAAGAAATGTTGGATTGCATTTGACAGAGGTAGTACCAGTGATAGATGACTTAGTGAAAAAGTAAAAGCCTCTAAGGGGGGTGGGGGGGAGAGGAGAAAAGCTACAGGGGAAGAAGTTTCTACTCAATATGACTCATTTTAAATATGCTTGCATTTGACCTTAGCATTCCCCCCGGCCATGATCCTGGTATTTGCTCTGTGCTCTTCCGCCTACATCTCTGGTAGAAGTTGCTCCTAGATGGTCCTGTAGGACTGACAGTCAGGCATACTCCCTGCACAAACTCCTCTTCAGAGGAGAGCTTCCAATCCTAGATTATAAATCACGTGAGATCAAAGATCACATATTATTCAGATGTGTGTCCCCAGGATGGGAGCATGGTGCCTGGCAGAGAGCAAATGCTCAGTGAATACATTTTAAATAAATAAGTAACTGTTCTCCCAGAGGATGCTCTATATCTTGTTAAGTGGTATCCTGCAGCCCATGTGCAAACATCCCAGATGACAAGCACAAGCTTAAATCACTTTCAATTACTGAATATCAACTGGATTCCCCTGACTATATTCTACTCAGTTGACTAGACTTTGCTTATGTTTTGTTATATCTTTTGGAAACAGGATTTAACTGTCTGGCTAGGCCTCTGGAATCCATTTCTATAATCAGGTTAATTCTTTCAGCTCATGAAGTAGTGTAAAGTTCTAGCAAATAGTGTTAGAATGACAAGACTAAGAACAGCATCTCTCTTGGAATAATTTCTGCAGGACCTCATTGTAAAATTCTACATAAAAACTAAAAGCTAGACTTAACTGAGCTTTATCCCATAACAAATGTACCAGGACTAAACATTTGGATTCACAGATACATAATAAATTGCAACCTTCTATATACTAGGAATGTAGAGTATCTTTGAAATCTAGATTGTATTCCTTTGATTGAATCCTAGAGATTTCTCTAGAGATTTCAAACTAGCACTAGGTGAACACCACAAATAAGACCTGATTCTGGCATTATTTATTCTTGATTTCATTCAGGTGCCTGCCAAAGCTGGGACCACAGAACTTCTTCTGGCCTCCTCTTACTGCCTTATCAGTAACTGCTGGCACTGTACCTTTATGCACTGCAAATAACTATACCACAAGTAGAAAGAATTTTGTAATATTCCAGGGATATTCATGTGTTGTAGGTGATAAAACAGTGTTTATGCATTCAACAACTATTTACCACAGGTCTATTTTGTGCCAAGAAGGTCAGTTGCTTCTCTCCACATTGACAAGTTTAAGGGACAGCAAATCCTTTACTGAATGCCAGCCTGGTGCACTACCCATTAAATTATGCTTGCCTTTCTGAAATTTTCCAATACTTTCACAAATCAAAGCCACTTGAGTTACCTAATTTGTTCATCTTTTATACAGAGCCAGTCAAGGAGACCTAAGCTGAAGCAAGTTATTTCAACACTAGTTAACTGGCTGTTTTCTACATCTGATTGACTATCAAATTAAGGCTGATGGAAATGCTCAAGAAACTAAATGCTGCAGAACCATAATGAGAATATTGATCTATATCTTGTTCAGGTGTTCATGGCTAAATTGATGCCACATTTTCATGTTGTCTCCTAAAAGATACAATGGGTTCATCCCTAACTCACCATTTTCCTCTTTATCTTTTCCTAAACTGCTTGCTTTTTGTGATCTATAATGGTTTGTACTCATTATGTTGACAACATGTTTTTTTCCTTTTCAACAATAAAAAATAAAAATGAAAACAATAGGCAAGTTCAGATAATTACATTCAATTTTAATTCAACAGTCTAAAAAGAATTCAATAACTTCTCACATTCTTCCTGAAAACAATATTTTTTAAAAAGCATTGTAAGAGGGGGCGCCTGAGTGGCTCAGTCATTAAGCGTCTGCCTTCAGCTCAGATCATGATCCCAGGCTCCTGGGGTCGAGCCCTGCATTGGGCTCCCTGATCCGCGGGAAGCCTGCTTCTCCCTCTCCTACTCCCCTTGCTTGTGTTCCCTCTCTCCCTATCTCTCTCTCTGTCAAATAAATAAATAAAATCTTTAAAAAAAAATTTTTTTTTAAAGCATTGTAAGAGGAAAAGAGATCTACTTCCTTTTCTAAGTTAAAAAGTGAAAATTCAATTATGATTAAAAAAATGTAAACAGTTGGGCGCCTGGGTGGCTCAGTTGGTTAAGCGACTGCCTTCGGCTCAGGTCATGATCCTGGAGTCCCTGGATCGAGTCCCGCATCGGGCTCCCTGCTCGGCAAGGAGCCTGCTTCTCCCTCTGACCCTCCCCCCTCTCATGTGCTCTCTCTCTCTCATTCTCTCTGTCTCAAATAAATAAAAATCTTTAAAAAAAAAAAATGTAAACAGTTTAAATCAATAGTCCTTTTAATAAATGAATTGAGGGGCTCCTGGCTGGCTCAGTTGGTAGAGCATGCAACTCTTGATCTGGCTTGTGAGTTTGAGCCCCATGTTGGGTGTAGAGATGAAAGAGAAAGAAAGAGAGCAAGAGAGAGAAAGAAAGAAAGAAATTGACATGGGATTGTATAAAGAAAAACTTACCTGATAAGTTTATCTGGATCTTTAGGAAACTCAGGGCTGTTATTTCTCACTATAAAGAAAAACATGAAAGGATTCTGGTTGACTTGGAAGAATGAATATATGGCTTTATGTAAGCTCTTTCCAAAACGTCGATAAAGTGGTAATAAAAGAATAAAAATAAAGTATAAAACCTCAAGGAGAGGAAAAGAAAAATGGTAAGAAAAATTTTCAAGATGAGGGGTGCCTAGGGGCATCTGGGTGGCTCAATTGGTTGGGCATCTGCCTTCGGCTCAAGTCATGATCCCAGGGTCCTGGGGTCGAGCCCCACATCTGGCTCCCTGCTCACTGGGGAGCCTACTTCTTCCTCTCCCTCTGTCCCCTGGCTTGTGCTCTCTCTATCCCAAATAAATAAATATAATCTTAAAAAAAAGATGAGGGGTGCCTGAATGGCTCAGTCAATTAAGCATCTGGCTTGTGATTTTGGCTCAGGTCATGATCTCAGGTCCTGAGATTGAGCCCAGCGATGGCCCCTGCATCTAGCCCTGTGTGGAGTGGGCTCCATGCTCAGCAGGGAGTCTGCTTCTCTCCCTCTCCCTCTGCCCCTCCCTCTGTTTGCACATCCTCTCTCTTTCTCTCTTTCTCTCTCTCTCTCTGAAATAAAAAAATAAATCTTTAGGGTTTTTTTTCCCTAAGGTGAAAGATGTCAAGAGGTAACTGTCTTAGCCAGGAATTTGAAACCTAATGACTGAGGAGGGGACACTAATAAAAAGCATGCAGATTTACACTTCAGAACTTGAGAAACAGTTCAGGAATTGGAGATGTCAGATGCTTCTGAAATGTAGGAGGTATAGCACAGACATCAAATACTTATATCTTCACCCTGTACAAGCAGATGATCACCACTACCAAGGCAGGAGGGCAGATACTCACTTCCTGGAGAAACTGAATCAGAGAGACTCAGAACTGAAGGATATTAGGTACAAAGCAGGATAAGAGTATGGTGAGGGACTGGAAGCAGGGAATAAATCACATAAATCTTATTGGATAGATAGGACTCCTTATTCTTTCCCACTGTCCAACTCCCAGAGTTTAAGCAACTGGTGTCTCTCTCTCCAGGCACAAGACTGGAGGATTGATTTCAGGAGAAATAGTTAAGCCTGACTAATGACATGACTAGGTCATCACTGAATAACCCAATAAAGAAATAAAACTGTCAACAAATCTAGTCTGTATTCAAATATTTCCAATATTTTTAATGATTGATTTCCATTCTTCATATGTCCATCAATGGACAAAGATCACTACACATTTGTGTAAAGTCAATATCATGAAAGATAACAACCAAAACAAATAAACAGGGAGAAAAGTAGGAAATAGAAACATACTTTGCTGGAAAACTTCCAGAATATAGAACAAAAAACAAAGTGATGGGTAATAGGAGAAAATAGATGTTTCAAAATTAGAGGAGCAGCTCAGTAGATCCTGCATCCAAATATATGGATATTTAAAAGAGAGAATAGTGAAAATGGAGGGAGAAAATGATAAAAGAAATAACATAAGAAAAAATTTCAGAACTAAAGGATTAGAGTTTGAGATTTAAACAGCCTAGCAAATGCCCTATATGATGAGCGAGGAAGGAAAAAAAACTACATCAAAAAACATTATCAAAAAATTTCAGGGGCTCAGTTGGTTAAGCATCTGCCTTCGGCTCAGGTCATGATCCCAGGGTCCTGGGATAAAGCCCCGCATCGGGCTCCCTGCTCTGCAGGAAGCCTGCTTCTCCCTCTCCTTCTGCCTGCTGCTCCCCCTGCTTATACTCTCTGTCAAATAAATAAATAAATAAAACCTTTAAAAAAAAATTTCAGATCCCTGGGAATAAAGAGGAAATTTTAAAAGTTTTAGAAGGAAAATATGCCACATGTGAAAAATTGTATATAGTGAAATCAGACTGCTCAAGAGCAACACTAGAAACTACAAGGTAATAGGATCTTTACAATTCCGAAAGAAATCTGCAAACTAAAATTTAACTAAATTGTGAACATAAGACAGTGGAATAAATACATTTGTAGGCATATAAAGTAATAAAAGATTTAGCTCTCATGTACTAGGAACCTCCTAGAAGAAGTGCTCCAATGAAATGAAGGAGCAAACCAAACAAAAGAAAAGCAAGGGATCAAGCAGGAGCTCCAATTGAAGAAACAGGCAAAGCATCATCCCAGGACACCTACCAGAGAACTGCCAACGTGGAACTGAAGGAGGATGGAATGCCAGAGGAAAGAGGTCTCCAAGGGAGTAAAATGCAATTGATGGACTACCTGGGAGTCGTTTTATAGCTTTGTCACAAAGTTTAGGGGTAGATAGTAGATATATTAAAAAACAAAAAGCAAGGGAATGAAAAATTGGGCCACTTGTACAAGGAAAGAAAAAGAATCATTCACAGTTCTTTTGTGACAAATAATTAGTAAGTCATAGTAAGTATTAATGTAACCAAACTATATTAGGAAGAGGGGCAGAGAAAGATGGATGGAAATAGTATAAATCTAAATCTTTATATTTCAGAAAAAGCCTATATGTAATATCTAAAACTGAACAACCCACAAATATTAGTATTTAAAAAAAAACTTAGAAATATAGTGGTAAGTTCCAGAAGAAATATGTGCTGAAAGCTGTTGGTGGTTTGTGGGGGTGGGGGCAGCACTCAGCAATGGAAGGTGTGGGGTTCTAGTGTCCGCTATGTTTCATTAAAAACCAACTCATATGCTTCCAGGGAAGATGGTAGAGTAGGATCCTAAGCTCACTTCATTCCATGGATACAATTAGATAACACCCACATCAGTGTAAATAACCCAGAAAACAACCCAAAGACTGGCAGAACACATTCTTCACAGCTGAAGGTAGAGAAGATGCCACATCAAAGAGGATAGGAAGGGCAGAGAGTTGGTCAGGAGCCAAACAGACCTGTGGACTGTCTCCGGGAGGGAGGGACACTACAGTTGCAGAGACAGGAAAGAAACAGACCCTCACACCAGGCACCCCAGGGACATGGATGAAGAAGATGAATCCCCATGATATTTGGCTTTGAAAACCAAAGAGGCCTAACAATCAGTGGGGCTTAACACCTGGAACTTTAAAAATCAGCAGGCACTGCTCTGGGAGAGCCAAGAGAGTGACAGGAAACTGCCCTTAAGAAGACAACACAACAAACAGCCCTGCTGAGATACAGCACAGAAGCAGCAATTTGAAAAATACCTGGAGTATATGGGAAGGAGATTTATTTACTAATCTCAGAGCATGTGCTGGATGGGTAAGGAACTTTGGGAGACTTCTCCAAGAACAAAAGAGCTATTGCATGTCATTTGCCTCCTCTGCCACTTAGCCTAAACACATGGACCCCTGCAGCACCAACGCTCTGCACCTAGCTGGCTAATAGCTTTCCCTGTCCCCACGTTCTTCTGTGGACATGCCCCTCCATCCAAGCCTGGGCAGTTTTCCTAGGCAGTTGCAGATTCCCTCCCACACCAGACCCGCACAAACCTTGCTAAAACCACGATTCCTAACCTTGCTTTCTCCTGCTGACCTGTCCCCTCAAAAACGCCCTTGCTGGGAGCCCATTCAAAGTGGTACAACAAGCCTGGCAGTTTGCAAGCAGCCCCAGTAGGGGCCAGCACCACCCCAAAGTGACTCCTGAGCTGGTATGAGGGGAAGATAACCACACACACCAGTCCAACTGTGGCCCCAGCAGTGGGCCACAAAAGCTTCTCAGGAAACAACACATGGAATGTGCCCTGCCATTTGATTCTATTGCATCTCTGGCAAATACCTGGTCTGACTCAGCTCAAGTCTAAGGTGGCCCCAGACTGACCCACTAACATCAGAGGAACAAAAGCCTGCTTACAACAAGAAAAGAGAGCCATTGCAAATGAGTGGACTGAAGGCAAAAGTGTCTCATCCACAATAGCAGGGCACATGCAACACACATAGGAGACAACCCTGAATCACCAGGTTCTGGTGAACAGGGTCATTGGACTGTAGGGTACTACAGGACATCTTCATGAGGTCACTACTTCCAATAGCAGGAGACATCACTGACCTTCCTAACACAAAGACACAGACACAGAGAGCTAGACAAAATGAGGAGACAGAGGACCAGGCCGCAAATGAAAGAACAGGACAAAATCATAGAAAGAGAGCTAAACAAAATGGAGATAAGTAATACGCTTGATAGAGAATTTAAAATAATGGTAAAAAAGATACTCACTGGATTTGAGAAAAGAGTGAAGGACCTCAGGGAGACCCTCAACAGAGACATGGAAAACAGAAAAAAGAACCAATCAGAAATGAAGGACTCAATAACTAAAATTAACTAAAATTTAAAATATATTAAATGGAATAAATAACAGACTAGAGGAAGCAGAAGAATGGATCAGTACCCTGGAGGACAGAGTAATAGAAAGAAATCAAGCTGAATAGGAGAGAGAAAAAAATAATAAAAAATGAAAATAGACTAAAGGAACTCAGCGACACCATCAAGTGTAATAACATTTGCATCATAGGGATCCCAGAAGTAGAGGGAGAGGAGGAGGTAGAAAATTTACTTGAAACTGAAAACTTCCCGAATCTGGGGAAGGAAGCAGAAATCCAGATCCAGGAGGCACAGAGAGCCCCCAAGAAAATCAACCCCAGAAGTCCACACAAAGATACACAGTAATTAAAATGGCAAAAAATAGTGAAAAATAATTTTTAAAGCAACAAGAGAAAAGAAAACAGTTATATATAAGGGAAACCTCATAAAGCTATCAGATGATTTTTCAGCAGAAACTTTGCAGGTGAGAGTGGCATGATACACTAAAAATGCTGAAAGAAAAAAAAAATCTGCACCCAAGAATACTCTATCCAGCAAGGCTATCATTCAGAAAAGAAGGAGAGATAAAGACTTTCCCAGACAAACAAAAGTTACAGGAATTCATCACCACTAAACTAGCCCAACAAGAAGTGTTAAAGATGTACCTTTGGTGGAATGAAAAGATCATAAGCAGGAATAAGAAAAGTAAGAAGCACAAAAAGCAGTAC